ACCAGCACTGCTCCGAGATTCTCCAAAGTGGACTACGCGGTCCTCCCTTTTCTGACGCCTCTCGGCGTCCTCTTTTGGTTTCGGTGGTGATAACGACATCTCTGCCAGATTTCTTCATCGGCGTCGACAACGCCGAGCTACTTCGTCATCTTCGGCGTTGACGACATCTACAACCTCTTCTTCTTCGGCGTTGGCTACATCGACAACCTCTTCTTCTTGATTCTTCGGCTTTGGCTACATCGGCAACCTCGAGGCAACATGTCTGATACCAAGGATTCCTCGTCTATTCCTGCCTGGGATGGATCTGCCCGCACGTGGAGGCGTTACACTCGTGCAGTCTCATGGTTCATGCAATCGACGCCAGTACATAAACGTCGTTATGTGGCGTCGAAGCTTTTGTCTCGCCTTTCGGGACCAGCGAGACTGTTGGCTATGAGCTGGAGCAAGGTTGGATTCGACAGCGCTGATGGGGTGAAGATCTTCTTGCAGCGTTTGGCTGCCAGCCCACTTGTTCGTCGTTCTCTTCCTAACGCAGCAGCTATATGCCAACAGTACTTCGGCTTCAAGAGACTACAAGGCGAATCCATACAGACTTTCCTGATGAGAGAAACCCTGATGCATGAGGAGTTCGTGGAGGCGATCATCAGGCTCCACGAGGACAAGCTTGGCGTAAGTCAAGAAAGGCGGGATTTCGGCTTGCCCACCTCTCAGGATTATGATGACTACAAGTGGGAAATGGACTACGGCTGGTCCAGCTGGTGGGACAATGGAGATTGGAACGAGGGGGAGTACGAGGAGACCGAGCGAGATGATGATGCCCGTGCCGTTGATCCTCCGGAAGAAGGAGCTGAACGTGAAGATCCTAAGGTGCCGGCGGCTCCAGGCTCTTCTCCGAGCCACCATCGTGAAGGTGGCAGCGTGACTGAGGAAGCGCCCGTGACCACAGACGATAAGAAGGCCACCAAGCCAACACCCTTGGATGAGCTGTCGCTGGCGGACAGTTTCATTCTAGATGTACTTCGGGGTTGGCGCTTGCTTCAGGCGGCAGGGCTATCTCATGAAGAGAAGCGGGACATCCTCAGCACCACCAAGAACAGCCTGGACTACACCGTCATTTCATCGGCCCTCCAAGGGCTCTGGGATGACCAACTTCTTGGCCGTCATGGTGGACATCATGGAAACTGCAATGTCCACTACCTCCAGGACCAGGATGCCAACGAGGCCTACGACCAGCATGGTTGGTGGGATGACCAGGACGATGATGACGTGGATGGCTGGTGGGACGACCTCTACTACACGGACGCCGGCTACGATTTGGTGGTATCAAGGCTACGACGAGTACCCCCACGAGGCCTACGCGGTGGCGACGGCTCAGGAGCCAGAGGATCCCGGTGCCAAGGTCCGCCTGAATGAGGCTCAGAAGACGGAGCAAGTCGCTGAGAGCTTGGCCGCATAGGCCAACCGGACATGGGCCGAGGCCCAGAGGGCCACCCAGGCCCTCCGCAAGGACCGTGGATTTGGCGCCGTTATGCAAGGCAAGGGCGTCGGCAATGGTCGTTGCTTTGTGTGTGGCGGTCAGCACTTCGCCCGCGACTGCCCCGACCGACGTGGACCACGGCCTAAGGGTTTCGGCAAGCGGCAAGCACTCTTCCTATGCTGCGGACTACTACGACGACCTCTACTTCAACAAGGGCAAGAGTAAATCCAAGGGCAAAGGCAAGGGCAAGCGCTCAATGTGGATGGAAGCTCAGGCATGGATGAAGGGCAAGGGCAAGAGCAAGGGCAAGGGCAAAGGAAAAGACATGTCCCGTGCTGTGAATGCCTATGCCTCCAACATGTTTGTCGGTGGCCTGGAGCTGAGTGATAGCTACGAGCTACAGTCATCTTCTATGAGTGCCAGCAATGCCCAGACCGGTATGCTCGACTGCGGGGCAACGGCCTCCGCTGCTCCTGAAGCAGTCGTACAGGGGCTCATAGGAGCCGTTCTTGCAAAGGACAAGTCAGCGAAGATCGAGTTCGACCAGTCAGCGCGGCCATACTTTCGGTTCGGGAACGGGCGTTGGGGTCGAGCTCTCTGTCGTGTTCACATGTCCAGTTGTGTGTCAGGTCAGCTGAAAACATTCTCGTTGTACACCCTACCCAATCCGGCGGAGTTCTACCAGTCCAACTTTGACAAACAAACGCTTGTACCCGTGTTGATTGGCATGGATTTCCTGGGCAACCAAGGGACGGGGCTACTGGTTGACTTTGGGACGGGGCTAGCTATGTGTACCAACCAAGAGAACCCCGAGATCTTTCAGCTAGATGTGAACCCCAAATAAACACTACGTCTACGACATTGTTCATCATTTGACACGAGGGCACACTTGTATGGAAGGTAATGCTCATGTTCTTGTTCGTCGTTGTCCTCTTGGCAGTGAAGCTGACATGTCACAACAGATGCTTGAGCTGTGGACTGCCTGGATAGATCTGAATGTCAGTGACCGTGTCTGACCGTGTACATGATGAACAATCGCTTGCCAGTGCGGGTGCAAGGATGTGGCGCTTGTATCAGCATGGTCACTCTTCCTCGACCCCGGCAGCTGTGACAGCTCAAATGTGTGGCTCTGCTTTTGCCACCCGCCTTTCGACAACTTCCTCTTCAAGCTCACATGGCGACGCCCGCGGCCTCTGCTGCAGCGAAGCCCACGAACACTACGAATCCCACCGTGGATCCCGAGACCGAGGCGATCCTTCAGGCTGCCTACAAGGCCAAGGCTCGGCCCAAGCAAAGAGCTCGATCGCTCGATCCCAGCCGACGGATGAAGTCGGACCCTCGGGACCCCCGCAACAAGAAGACGCAGTGGCCGTGCTACGGCACCCACACTCCTGCAGCTCCTCAAGGCAATCCTCACGGAGAGTGGATAACCTGCCAAGCCTGTCAATGCTGCAATCTCAGGTTGCTGTACACACCCAGGAAAGGGAGTCCAGCTTCGAGCACCGAGACGGTGAATGCCCCGATGCTGCAGGTGATGTTGAACGAGCTGGAGGCGGCGCTGGGAACGGTTCGGCCAACAGCCAAGATATGCCACTATGCTATGGAGAAGGTGAAGGCCGACCATGTGTTGCGCAAGGCGATCGGCGACCTCATGGGCAACCACAGCGCTCCTTCAACCCAGACGCACCCGAAGGCAGGATATCCGACCTCACCGGCGACCTCAATGGCAACCTGTGGTGGACGACGAGGAGCTGATTGCAGCCATGGAAGCAGGCCAGGATCAGCAGTGACCACGTATAAGCCAGTGACCAGTACTCCGGTCTACATGGGCAAGAAGGTGATGGCTATGGCTGCGATGATGGCAACCGCTACGACCTCTCTTCTTATCGGCCTTCATCTGGAAGGCCGTGATGGACTTTGGGAAGTGGCCTGCAGCCCCCACTCGTGGCTCAGCGAGGCGGCGAACGAACATGGACTACGACCTCGCCGCATCAATCTGGCGAACGGCTTTGACGTGTACCGCCATGACACTTGGGATCGACTACGAGCTCTTCGGCGACAACACCGACCACAACGACTGTGGTTCAGCCTACCCTGCAACAAGTGGTGCAGTTGGAGCAGCGTCAACTACAACGACCACGAGAAACGTGAACGCCTAGAGGGCCGGATGCTCAAGGATGCGGTTGACTTCCTCTTGAACACTGTTGACGAGGACCCTGACCTGGAGATATACTGGGAGTGGCCGTTTCCGTGCTTCGGTTGGAAGCAACGACCTCTGGAGGACCTCGCCACGCAACTTCATCGGCGAGGACAAGAGTGGCTTGATTGTCGAGTTGATGGTTGTGTTTATGGTATGAAGACCGAGGACATAACACGGCCTTACTCAAGAAGAAATGGATGATCCGCACCAACGACCCCGTTTTCCACCGGGCCTTCCGAGCTAAGGTTTGCTGCGGCAATCATGGCTTACATGGCTACATCGAGGGTCAAGAAACTGCAAGATCGTCGTACTACCCCTGGAAACTTGTTCAGGCCTGGACACGACATTGGAAGAGCCAGATGGGTCCAGAACGACACCTACGTCTTCTTCAACAGCCGGATGTGGACTACATGAACGACAACCTCAAGGTTGACCTCGAGGCCATCTCCGACCTCCCCGATGTGGAATTCAACAATGGTCCTGATGATGACGTAAACGAGATCTACAATGAGATGAAGATGGCGCAGCACGACCAGATCATGCTTGACAACATGGCCCGAGAAGCTCGGTTGAAACAGGCCTTTGATATGGAGACCTGTGAGAGTCTTCTTCAACAACTCTAAGCTCAACTACCTGCTAGCCGAGCCAACAAGCATGTGCGCTGGTCTGACCAACTTCCACAGACCTTGGCTCTTGGTTGCTACGCCCATGGAGCCTTTTGCGGTGTGACGAAACAAAGTCAACGATGCGCTACGTGAACTACTACCTCCGTCATCATCTACCAAGCCATGGCTGGTCAAGCGTGATGTTGACCTTCAACGGCCACGCTCTACCACATCGTGATCATCACAACAAGAAAGGGACCGTGAACGTGGTTCATGGTCTTGGTTCCTACAGTGGAGGAGAGCTATGGATTCAAGGACAACCTCCACCTGGCCTACCGGAGGTGAGGCGAAAAACGCCAGGCGGATTGGTGCAAGTTGGTTATGTCCGACCTACTTGGCACAACTTTGTGGAGTTTCGACCGGAAGTTCTACATGGAACGCAGAAGCGACAAGGGAGCTGCGTCTACATTTCTGCCTACACGACTCGCCTACTTGAACAACTACCTCCTGAAGGACGACAACAACTACACAGCCTCGGCTTTCCGCTCAAGGCCATCCGCGTGGAGCCTTCAAACGATGCCTCCCTGCTTCCTGCCCTCAAGGAGCCTACCGAGGAGTTGGGCACCGACAATATTCGACAGCTACGAGCACGGTGGGAAGCCCAGATTGCGAAGTTCCACCTTAAGGCGGCCGGCGGCGGCCGGCCATCCCTCGAATCGGAACCTGGCCCGCATCATCAAGGAAGCAGGCCATGAGGAGTGGAAGATCGAGATGGCCAAGAACTTTCACTGTCCTTCGCCGGTCTCCGTGCCGGTCTCAAGAGTGGTGGCACCTCCTCTGGAAATGTGCCACCCGCAACGACACAGGGAATGTATGCTGCATGGCAGGCGGTTGGAGTGGATTCAGGTGAGTGGATCCCCCCTGGATCCAAGACCAAGGTGAAGTTCCTGCTTTTCATGGACCTGGCCACGAAGCTCCGGGTTGTGTGTCCTCTCTTTGTGTACGACTTCTTGGAAATGCGGACAGAATCAGGCCCAGATCTCATCAAGGCTTTTTCTGAGCGTTGGCTTTCACTCTTCCCGAAGCCAAAGCTACTGGTTTTGGATGCGGCAAAGAGTTTTTCTTCTGATGCTGTTCACGAGTTTGCGAGCAATGTCAATGTGGCGCTCTCCTACGTGGCGGAGAAAGAAGCTTGGGCGCATGGTGTGATTGAGGCCGGTGTGAAGGATCTCAAGATGACGGCCTCTGCCATTCACTTGGAGTCGTTGGAACAGGACCCCATGGTGACCCTGTGCCTGGCCACGTCTGCCCTGAACTCCACAGAGTACACCGCAGGGTATTCAGCGTTTCAATGGGTCTTTAGGCAGGAGTTTTCCCTGACAGATGAGGATGTGCGGACCTATGCCCTGGCGGACCTCAAGGACGACTTCACGCGTTTGGTTGCTGCTCGTGAAAAAGCTGAAGCAGTGGCGAAAGAAACCAGAGCTAAACGAATTCTGACTAAATTGGGAAACACGACAGTGCGACAGCCGTTGCGTACCTACCACCCGATGGATTTGGTCAAGATATGGAGGAAAGTTTGGCCAAAGGAACAATTTCAAGGCCGCAAGGGTGGCTTGAAAAAGTCAGGGCGACCTCATTGGATTGGTCCAGGCAGAGTGGTGTTCCGCGAAGTGCTACCTCATCAAGATGCTGATGATGACCGTCGGCACATTGTGTGGGTTTTGGTTGGCTCACAACTCTTTCGATGCTCTGTTCATTCAGTCCGTCCGACCACCGAGACGGAGCGGTTCCGGTTCGAGACGGACAAGACCGAGGACTACACCTCCTGGAAGACGCTTGCGGATGTCTTACCAAAGCAGGAGTATCTGGACCTTACGGACCAGACGCCACACGAGGATGAAAGCGAAGCACCTGAGCTACCACAAGAGCCAGACACTACAACAATGGTTGTTCCTCGACGTCGTGTGGTGCGAAAGACCAAGCCGAATGCTCCGGTGGTGTTGGGCCACCCAGACTCTACAGGTTCCAGTGAACGTCAAGTTCAGACAGAACCTGGCACTTCAAGCACTTCTCTGGCATCTGGTCCCCCCTTGTCTACACTAGATGAAGACGTGAATGACTACTCTCACGGGGAGACCAAACGTCAGAAGTTGGATGATTGGGTGAATGATCTTCACTTGGAAGCAGCCCGTGAAGCACAAAGCCTGGACATCTACAGCGCATTCATGGAAGCTGATGCGTGCATGAAGATTGAGTTCGAGGTGTGAGTGCCCCTACGTCAAATCGACAACGGAAGCTTCTGGAACGCCATCCAGTGCTTTACATGCTCTCCAAGCTTTCGGCTGCAGAGAAGGAGTTGTTTGCAAGAGCGAAAACGAAGGAGGTTGACTCCTTCCTCAAACACGAAGCCGTCAGGAAGTGCCTCGACGACAAGGAGATCAGCAAGGCCTTTGAGAGTCGCAGGATTGTTCGTTCCCGTTGGGTGCTCACTTGGAAACCTACGCCACAGGAGGAGCTCTACCACGCGCAGAAGGACGCCGCCGAGAACCCGAAATCCGTCTTCACCAAGGACGGCAGCAAGAAGGCGAAGGCGAGGATAGTCTTGCTCGGATTCGAGCACCCGAGCTTGCTTGACCCGACGCTTAAAACTGCATCGCCGGTACAGTCTTCATTGGGACGAAACCTCCTTTATAGCATGGCCGCCTTCCATCAATGGAGCCTTGAAGGACTCGACTTGGCTACAGCGTTTCTACAAACGCAGGCGACGGAGGCAGACAAGGAGATTTGGACCACTGGTGTTCGTGAACTTCGAGAAGCACTTGGCGTGGACGAAGGCGGCATCATCAGAATTCTTCGCAACATCTACGGGAGCACTACGGCTCCCAGAGGACTATGGCTCGACCTTCACAAGACGTTGACGTCTCTTGGTGCTCACGCCGTCCAAGGCGAACGATGCTTGTGGATATGGAACTCAGCGGAACGAACTGATCACCTCAATGGCCGCGAGTTTCCGAAGGTGATCGGAGCCATGGGTGGCCATGTGGATGACTTCCACAGGATTGGCGACAACAGTCCGGAGTGGTTGATCGTGAAGGACAAGGTGAACAAAGCGTACAATTGGGGAATGTCGAAGACGGCAACTACCGCCATGCCGGTACGGACGTTACCAAACCAGACTCCCAAGGGTTCACCCAGATCACCGTCAACCAGGACTACTACATCGACGGCATCCCCGACCTCGACGTGGCTCCCGACCGCCTTTCCGAACAAGGTTCGATGACGAAGTCTGAGATTGCAGCCTGCCGTACCGCACTTGGTGCTCTTCAGTGGGTCGCAATCCAAACGCAACCCCAGATCTGCGCAAGATGCAATCTTCTATTGACTGATCTAGTCACCCGAGGAACCCTGGATGTTGGCCGGGAAATTCAGGAGGTGATTGGCGAGGTCAGAAAGGAGCCTATGTCCTTGAAGTTTACACGGTTGCCTACGGCGAAGCATTGGTCCGACCTCGTCATCATTACAATGGGCGACCAGGCGCATGCAAACCGGCCCAAGGGAGATTCAACTGGCGGCATGGTGACGCTCATGGCTGGTCCACAAAGCGCTCGAGGAGATGTTTGTGCCATGAACATCCTGGCATGGAGGACGTGGAAGCTACAGCGAAAGGCCGTTAGCTCCAACGATGCTGAGGTTCAAGCGATGCTGGAGTCCACAACTTCAGAACCCGCTGGTTGTGGAGCGAACTACATGGTGCCGGTGGCGCAACGTCCAGCACTGCAACGAGAGTGAATCTTATTGCGGAGCAAGAGCGCCAGATTCATGGCATCAAGGGAATCGTCTGCACCGACAGCCGAGGTGGCTATGACGCCGTTCAGCTGAATGAGTCACCGCTTCTGGGCTTGAGCAACATGAGGGCGGCTCTACAGGCATATCAACTTCGTGTAGGCCTTTTAAAGCTTTTACGCTCAGGCCGTTGGTGCAT